CACACACACACACACACACACACACACACACACACAAGACATTGAAGAAGATAGCGGGGCAAGCTTGGTTTGGCTGAATGCAGTTGGCACAGTGCGCAGCGTGAATGATACAGACAGTAAATTACTGACAGAACTGCTAAAACTGTAAAAAATTAACTTTTCACAGTCCAAAGGTGTATGAAAAGACCCCAAATGATCACTGTTAGACTTAGTGAAGGTGTACATGGCTGTCTAGCTGTCTGGCCCGGACTTGGTGGCGCTGTGGAGCTGTCTGTGGTCCCTGCATCGGTAGCTAGGTAGATTTCTTTCAATAAACCCATGTTGTTGGAATGAAAATAATGCTTTTCATTTCTGCATAGGCTCCTCCTCCTATGTTAGCAATGAAACTGAAGCAGAAAGACTTTAACACCGTATACTAGCATTTGTTTATTATTATTAAGTGATATCATCATTGCAATATTCAACAACGTTTTTCGCATGTTTTCCTAATATTGTGCAGCTGTAGATCAAAGACTGACTGTACTATAAAAATACAGAGAGAACAAATTGTACTGGATCAGCTTTCACATTCTAGTAAGTGAAACATCCAGAATGTCACAGCCTGTTTTTTAGCTTCTGGACACAAAAAAGAAGTATATGTCTGCAATTAAGTACCACTGGAATTACCAACCCCCTCACCCCCTACACCACTCTCATCTGGTCTTATCTGTAACAGCTAAAATTTCTGGAACTGTTCAGATGGGAGTGTTGGGCAGATGTCCATTAGAGCCTGTCAGTGATCCTTTACAGCCTGAACCACTGGCTTGTACACTGTGCAGGGTTTGTCCATTGCGTTTACTAAGAGACTGGTTCCCCCTGAGGGCCTCCTGCTCCACAGGGGTCCTTCTGTCTGAGTCTCTGGTTGGAGTCCCTGCATGTGGTGCTGTTCGGCTGTGGCACCGCTGTCTGATGACGTACAAAAGCATGGTGATCAGTAAACTAAGGGAAAGCACCAGCAGAACTGATACAGCCACCAGCTCCTTTAGATAGCAGGGGCCTCGAGCTAAGTGCAGAGACTCCCCATCCTGAAAGCCAACCTCCTTCTGCCCAGATTGATGTGTCCACATAGTCAGGTTCCTGCCCTGCTGCCTGGTGATGACCTGAGTGTCCCTGCTTGAAAGTGTTGGCTCAGTCTCTCCATTTCTTATTTCCTGTCTTTGAGTCCCAGAGGTGTGCAATCCAGGTCCACCTCTAGACACAGTCTGTGTTGTGGTTATGGGTTGTGTCTGAGGCTGGGTGTAGTTGGTTGGAATTTGAGCCACTGGACTGCTCTTCTGTTTTACATGATAAATGGCCATAGTCTGCCGGTAGCCATTCTCAGTGGACAGACAGAGGTAGTGTCCCAGTGTGGCAGGGGTGGCCACAAAGCTGAGACTCCCGTCCCCCAGGTGCAGGTATAGGTCTGAGGACAGCCGGCTGTTAGGACGCTCCCACATCTCCTGGGACAGCTGTGATGCCGCGGGACACTGAAGTCGCACCACTTCATTTAGAGTGACAGACACCAGCTCACCTATAGGACATGATGCTGACATAGAGATTACAATTCAACAGAGGCCAAAATACACAAGGAGCCTCCATGCTGTTCTACACATTGTCATCAGATATGAAAACTTTCAGCACCAGTCTAAACCTGCTAAAGAATCTGCTGCTCACTCAGTAAATGCATACATGTGTGAAATTGTCCACAGCGCATTACATTACATTAACTGTGGCTCAGAAGGTGGAGTGGATCATCGGCAGTTCAATCCCAGTCTCCACCATTCCACTTGCTGAAGTTTCCTTCGGCAAGACACTGAAACCCAAATTGCCACTGGCAGCTGTGCTGGCAGTGTGTGATAAGAGAAAGTGCTGCACATACAGTAGATACACTGTATGAATGTGTGTGTGTGTGTGTGTGTGTGTGTGGATGGCAAAACTGCATTGTAAAACATTTGAAGTGTTCGTCAAGACTAGAAAGGCACTTAATAATAAATAATAATAAATAAATACAGACAATTTACTTGCTCCATTAAGACTCTATACTCTGACATAGGTTGTGGTATACACATATTTCCAGCTTACATTATAAAAGTATACAGTATCCTTGGTTAGAACCAATTCATGCACACAATGTTGCCTCTGTATGTTGGCTTGGGATCACAGAGAAGAAATCGGCGCTCCATAACATCTTTAAAGCCAACAAACAATGCATTCTGAAGAACTATCTCTTTTATGTACCAATTCATCACTGTCTTTAGTACATCAGTACATATCGTAGTCACACTTCTTGGAAACAACCTTTTACTGGATCCTTATTCTTAATATTTATTGAAGAACATTTCTAGAATTAATACTGTGAATGTCAGTGTTTCTTACATGAAGTATGTGACTAGCTTATGCAAAGTAAAACAGTTGAGCTAAGTGACACTTACTTGCAGACAGTTTGGTTGGTCCGAATCTGGCTCGATGTGGTATTGTAACACTGTTGCATGCCTCCTCAACATTGCCTGTGTCTACATCCTGGCTTCTGCAGAGGTAAAACTACATTCAGAGCTTGGCACAGTTATTTTTCTATTACAGTATTACCTAAAGACATAATGGCAATCTTACTGTGCTACTCCTAACCTGAATGTCACATCTGCCATACTGAAACTGACAGCATGCGAAGGGGCATTTATACCCCAACGCAACTCTGGTACCTTCAGAGACCCAAGGTATGTAATTGTGTTTGTTACTTCAGTTGATCTGACATCCACCCCAACCTGACTCAGTGATTGGGCAGCTGTGAATTTAGGTAAATTAGCCATTTGTACTTCTCTCGCAACTCTTTTTATTTTTTACATAAACTATATATGTGAACAATCAAGTAACACCATGATGTCTTCCAGGACAGAAAATGTCTGAAAATGTGTTAAATAGTTCAATTAAATATAAACAACATCCCCCCAGTCCTGTTAACATATCCAATAGTATAGCTTTATGTGAGGAAAAGTTTTTTAATACTTTTGTATTTTAATACAAAAAGTCTTGCATTTGTTTGAAATAAAGAAGAATCTGCAAACAAAAAATGTCACATGTTATCTACAACCCATAGAGACAAATATCAACATATCAAAGCTATACAGCTTAATAAACCAATGTAGGCCAATAGGCTAGTGCTGTCATTTCCATTCTATCAACATGTTTTTCATCAAAGGACTCATCAAGACACATTTCTAACAAAATAAATAAAAATGGCAAAATTAAGTTGTACTCACAAACTGATCTGAGTGATAGATGCCTCCACGCAGGCCCTGTTGGCAGTGTCCCAACCACAGAAGGGGTCTCGGGCCAGCACACACTGAGCACAGGTCCAGTAAAAGGAACAGTTTGCTGTTGGAACCCTCACCACACCCTCTGATGTACCAACATATATCACACCCTGCAGTGGGAGAGAACAGGATCAGGCAATTCTAACATAACTGTAAGATTTTTTTGATATAAACCTCTTTGTGCAGACAAATCTTGAACAACAGTTTTAGATAAATGCAGGGGTGGATTTTTTGGGGCGTGCAGGGGGGTGAGTGGTGCTGGTGTCCAAATCCCCTCCATCCAAGAAATAACAGCCATCTCCCTCAAAATGATTGCAAACATAACTACTGTATATACATTTAAATAGAATGATAATATGCATCTTGTGTTAATTATGTTTGCACCCCCTAACACACACACAAACCCCTTGGTTAAAGAGTGATCACAATGGTGGCTTACCTTCAGTGACTAGATACTTTGCAATGCTTAAAACAAAGGATTCCACATTGTCAGAGATCTTTCTTTGATTGTATCACTTAATAGAAACACATTTATACACTTGTGTATACATGGTCTGCATTTATATAGTGCTTTTCTTGTCTTGATGACCACTCACAGTGCTTTACAGTACAGTTTATTGCCATTCACACACACATTCATACAGTGCATCTATGTGCAACACTTTCAGCCGTCAGGAGAAATTTCAGATCCAGTATCTTGCTCAAGGACACTATCGACCTTCTGCTGAGAGGATGACCCGCTCTTCTCCCTGAGCCACACCTGCAACTGTGTGTGTATATATTCAGTACATGCGAGCCCTCTAAGAGGAGAACAACCTCATGGCCTTGTTAGTTAGGGTTTGATAATCACTTCACCTTTGTGAAGGTGAATTGATGATATGCCAGGTCAGTTTATTGGCACGGCTGTTTTGAGTTATCACGCTCTTCTTCTTCTGCAGTAGCAGCTGGACTACAGCTGCTGGAAGGGCTGCATGCACACAGGATCAAGGTCGTCGATCCACAGAGATCATCCCATTATTGTTGTAAGAGTGAGAGCTGTGGTAAATGGTCTGTATTTACATAGCGATTGTCTAGTCTTGATGACCACTCAAAGCACTGTGCAGTTTTTTTTGTTGCTATTCACCCATTCACACACACATTCATACTGTACATCTATGGGCAGCACTTTTTTTCTATGAACGGCAATTTGGGGTTTGCCCAAATTGCTGCTTCAGCATGCAGATGGGAAAGACTTTGATTGAACCATTGACCTTCTGGTTGGAGGATGACCACCACAGCCACCCTCTATAGCTGCCTCTAGATCACACACACATATGAGGCTGTGTTTCAGACACACGTACACACATAAAACTATATCTCACTGGTAACTGTGGTGGTCGTAATTGTACAATATGTTTCTGTTGCTTTGTTCTGTACACGTGACATCCATTGCACGTCTTTCCGTCCTGGGAGAGGGATCCCTCCTCTGTGGCTCTCCCTGAGGTTTCTTCCACCTTCTTTTCCCTGTTAAAAGTGTTTTTTGTGGGCAAGTTTTTCCTCACTCGAACCGAGGGTCTAAGGACAGAGGGTGTCACTACCTGTACAGATTGTAAAGCCCTCTGAGGCCAAATGTGTTTTGTGAATTTGGGCTATACAAATAAAATTTGATTTGATCTGATTTGACTGGGAACAGTGGTAAATTCGCTCACCAACTGTTATTTCTGTAGCACATGTGACATGCATGTCACATTGTCTTACAGCCTTACAGTCTTACAGGCACAATTCTTAACTGGTTCTCTCTGGATGTTTCTCAGTTTTAATTGGTCATTTTAAATCTGATGAAATTGATTACTTATTGAGTCCCATTTGGGTTAATTCTTGGTCCACTGCTTGAACTTGGATCTATCATCAGCAAAAAACATTTCATATCACTTATGAGACAAATTGTGATTTGTGAATATGGGCTATACAAATAAAATGTGATTGATTGATTGATTGAGTGTATGCTGATGATACACAGCTTTACATATATGTATCAGTAAAACCTTAGCCCATCAAATTACCTTATTCAAAATGTGTATGGCCAAAATTTCAAGACAGGGATTGTTTTAGTGGGTCCCAGGGCTTTGCACAGCTTTGTACAGCTGTGAGCCTGTAATACTTGGCCTTTATCACCTTAGAGATGAATTATCTAATGATATAGCTTCTCTGGATGGCATCGCCCTGGCTTCCAAATAAACTGTGTGGAATCTGAGAGTTATCTTTGACCTGGACATGTCCTTTGATTCATTTTTAAAAACAAATTTCAAAGACTGCTTTTATAATTGTAAAAATTAGGCCTGTCCTAATTCAGGGTGAAGAGCAGGTTGACCTCTAACCAGAGGGTTGGTGATTTAATCCAAGTCCTCCCCATTCCAAATGCACGTACTGTGCATTTGTGTGAAAAGGGGATGAACAAAAACTGTATTGTAAAGCGCTTTGAGTTGTCATCAAGACTAGAACAACGCTAAGAAATACAGACCATTTAATTATCAGGCTCCACCACTAACTCTTTAAAGACTGCAGCTACAACTAGATTGTTCGGATATATCATGTTCCTGCCCACTACCATTATGGACGTTACCACTATCATTCATTACAAATGACATTGCTGCTCCCTTAGACAT